AGAGTGAAGGGAAAGATGCTGGTCATGACCTCCTCTTCCTCCCTTCTCTCAAACATCTTAACCCTTCAGATACCAGTCGTAGCAGCAGCATCATTAGTAGTAGTAATAGCAGTATTATCAGTAGTAGCAGTAACAGTAGTAGTAGTAGTAGTAATAACAGTAGTATTAATAGTAGCAGTAGTAGTAATAGTAATAGCGTCAGTACAGGAGTGTGATAGTAGGAGCAGAAAATCTGTGGTAATCAGAAGTATAACCACTGGTACACGAAGCTCTCCGAGTGACAGTGGAGTAACATGGGAGTAACACTGGTAAAGAGGGAGTGCCACTGGAGTAACGTGGGAGTGGTGGGTGGTGGTGGGAGTGGTGGGTGGTGGTGGGTGGTGGTGGGGTGGTGGGTGGTGGTTGTGGTGGTGGGTGGTGGTGGTAGGTGGTGGTGATAGTAATGGTCGTTGTGGTGATAGTGGTAGTGGGCTACTAGCAAGGTGGATAAAAACTAGTTTCCCTAAACTGCAAATCCATCAGCTTTTTGTTGTTTCCCCATTTTGTACAACAGTTACAGTGTGGGAACAAAAGCTAACAGTTGTCGGCGAGGGGCGAGGGAGTAAGGGGGGGGGCAAAGAGGGAGCAAAGAGGGGAAATAGCCAGAAATTTTGCTATTAAGTAAAAATGGATACAATAGTAGTGTGCTGCTACCACACTCAATGTTTGCTTTGTGGGAAGATATTCTGCATTATTCCATCACACAGGCTGGATTCCTCTGTCATATTCCATCACACAGGGTGGATTCCTCTGTCATATTCCATCACACAGGCTGGATTCCTCTGTCATATTCCATCACACAGGCTGGATTCTTCTGTCATATTCCATCACACAGGCTGGATTCCCCTACCATATTCCATCACACAGGCTGGATTCCTCGGGTCATTTCCATCACACAGGCTGGATTCCTCTGTCATTTCCATCAAAACAGGCTGGATTCCTCGTCATATTCCATCACACAGGCTGGGTTCCCCTACCATATTCCATCACACAGTCTGGGTTCCACTACCATATTCCATCACACAGTCTGGGTTCCCCTACCATATTCCATCACACAGGCTGGGTTCCCCTACCATATTCCATCACACAGGCTGGGTTCCCCTACCATATTCCATCACACAGGCTGGGTTCCCCTACCATATTCCATCACACAGGCTGGTTCCCCCTACCTTTATTCCATCACACAGGCGGGGTCCCCTACCATATTCCATCCCCACAGGCTGGGTTCCCCTACCATATTCCATCACACAGGCTGGGTTCCCCTACCATATTCCATCACACAGGCTGGGTTCCCCTACCGTATTCCATCACACAGGCTGGATTCCTCTGTCATATTCCATCAAAACAGGCTGGGTTCCCCTACCATATTCCATCACACAGGCTGGATTCCTCTGTCATATTCCATCACACAGGCTGGGTTCCCCTACCATATTCCATCACACAGGCTGGATTCCTCTGTCATATTCCATCACACAGGCTGGGTTCCCCTACCGTATTCCATCACACAGGCTGGGTTCCCCTACCATATTCCATCACACAGGCTGGATTCCTCTGTCATATTCCATCACACAGGCTGGGTTCCCCTACCATATTCCATCACACAGGCTGGGTTCCCCTACCGTATTCCATCACACAGGCTGGGTTCCCCTACCGTATTCCATCACACAGGCTGGGTTCCCCTACCATATTCCATCACACAGGCTGGGTTCCCCTACCATATTCCATCACACAGGCTGGGTTCCCCTACCATATTCCATCACACAGGCTGGGTTCCCCTACCATATTCCATCACACAGGCTGGGTTCCCCTACCATATTCCATCACACAGGCTAGGTTCCCCTACCATATTCCATCACACAGGCTGGGTTCCCTCCCAAATATTCCATCACACAGGCTGGGTTCCCCTACCATATTCCATCACAAGGCTGGGTTCCCCTACCATATTCCATCACCCCGGCTGGGTTCCCTACCATATTCATCACACAGGCTGGGTTCGCCTACCATATTCCCATCACACAGGCTGGGTTTCCCCTACCTATTCCATCACACAGGCTGGGTTCCCCTACCATATTCCATCACACAGGCTGGATTCCCCTACCATATTCCATCACACAGGCTGGGTTCCCATACCATATTCCATCACACAGGCTGGGTTCCCCTACCATATTCCCTCACACAGGCTAGGTTCCCCTACCATATTCCATCACACAGGCTGGGTTCCCCTACCATATTCCATCACACAGACTGGGTTCCCCTACCATATTCCATCACACAGGCTAGGTTCCCCTACCATATTCCATCACACAGGCTGGGTTCCCCTACCATATTCCATCACACAGACTGGGTTCCCCTACCATATTCCATCACACAGGCTGGGTTCCCCTACCATATTCCATCACACAGGCTGGGTTCCCCTGTCATATTCCATCACACAGGCTAGGTTCCCCTGTCATATTCCATCACACAGGCTGGGTTCCCCTACCATATTCCATCACACAGGCTGGGTTCCCCTACCATATTCCATCACACAGGCTGGATTCCTCTGTCATATTCCATCACACAGGCTGGGTTCCCCTACCATATTCCATCACACAGGCTGGATTCCTCTGTCATATTCCATCACACAGGCTGGGTTCCCCTACCATATTCCATCACACAGGCTGGTTTCCCTCTGTCATATTCCATCACACAGGCTGGGTTCCCCTACCATATTCCATCACACAGGCTGGATTCCTCTGTCATATTCCATCACACTGGCTGGGCGTTATTACCATATTCCATCACACAGGCTGGGTTCCCCTACCATATTCCATCACACAGGCTGCGTTCCCCTACCATATTCCATCACACAGGCTCGATTCCTCTGTCATATTCCATCACACAGGCTGGGTGCCCCTGTCATATTCCATCACATAGGCTTGGCTCCCCAGTTATATTCCATCACACAGGCTGGGTTCCCCTGTCATATTCCATCACACAGGCTGGGTTCCCCTGTCATATTCCATCACACAGGCTTGGCTCCCCAGTTATATTCCATCACACAGGCTGGGTTCCCCTGTCATATTCCATCACACAGGCTTGGCTCCCCAGTTATATTCAATCACACAGGCTGGGTTCCCCTGTCATATTCCATCACACAGGCTTGGTTCCCCTGTCATATTCCATCACACAGGCTGGATTCCCCTCTCATATTCCATCACACAGGCTGGGTTCCCCTCTCATATTCCATCACACAGGCTGGGCTTCCCAGTTATATTCCATCACACAGGCTGGGTTCCCCAGTCATATTCCATCGCACAGGCTGGGTTTCTCATACCAGGTAATGAAATGTGTCAGTCTGAGTTGGAAGATTTTGGAAGAACGATAAGAATATAGTTAAGTATCCCATCAGAGGATCATCAGCTACGGCAGCTTCGAAGATTTCCTTCCAGCAGAGCTACAGTTACTATCACATGGGAATCACCATTTATTATTAAACCCTGCCCCGTGCAAAGGAAAAGATGTTGTTTAGAGGGAAGGTAGGGAGAAGAGAGAACATATAGTAGGAAGAAAGAGGGAGAAGAGAGAGCATATAGTAGGCACAAAGAGGGAGGAAAGAAGGTAGCAGTACAGAGAAAGAGGAAGAAAAGAAGGTAGTAGTACAGAGAAAGAGGGATAAAAGAGTGTAGTGGTATAGAGAAAGAGAAAAAAGAGAGTAGTGGTAAAGAGAAAGAGTTAGAAAAGAGGAAAGTAATACAGAGAAAGAGGGAGAAGAGAGAGTAGTGGTACAGAGAAAGAGAGAGAAAAGAGAGTAGTGGTATAAAGAGGGGCCATGAGGAGAGAGGAACAGAGTGTAGACGGGAAGTACAGAGAAGAGGGAGCATACAGAAGGCACAGAGAAAGAGGGAGCATAGAGGAGAAGGTACAGAGAAAGGATAAACAGAGAGAGGGAGGCGAAGAGAAAGAGGGAACACAGATGGAAGAGGAGGGAAGGAGCGAGTGGGGAAAAATGGGTGTTGGTTGAAAGACCCCATGGTTGACGTCCTCTTGATTTCACGTGTCATATTAAATACTCCACCAACATAGCTCGACGTTTGGACTCTGGTGGCTAAAATTTTTATCTTATGGTAACCTAATGACGAACCCTTTGGGTGGGCGGGGGAGAGGCTATCTTGGGACACCTATTCATTTTTTTTTTGTGGGTGGGGAGGAAAGCGTCTCCGACCGCCCACTCGTTTTCTGGGCGGTGGGACGGGAACTTAGGTCGTCAACTCTTACTGGGTTGGATGCTGAGGGTGGTGAGTGGGCAGCCGTGGGAGAGGTAATGTTATGGGATTGTTAATGGGGGCCCCAGAAATATGCCCCAAGTTTAGAATTATTGTTTAGGACCACGATGTTTAGGACCACATTTAGGCCCAGGGTGTTAAAGATCACAATGTTTAGAACACCCGTCTTGGAGACCACAGCAAAGAGGTCTTTGTATGAACTTGACTTACGTAATTAGGGCTAGGTAATAAGTAGGGTACTTAATTAAGGCTACGTAATTGGAACTACTTAAATCTACGTGACTGGGGCAACTTAAAACTACATGATTGGGGCAACTTTAAACTACATGACTGGGGCTACGTAGCATGACACTACTAGAGGTTACGAGTGGGTAGGGGAGAAGAGGCCAATGGTTACCTGTGCCTCATTACAGAAGTTACCTGTATTTAGACGGTAGGGGATGAAGGGGGATTGGGAGTGGTATAACTCCAATATTTTCCAGTCCCACTCCCCTGAAAGAGAATTGTGGCACCCTACTTTCCATACCCCCATACCCCCCTCCTTAAAAAAACATGGTGTTTGGCCTATTCCCAATCCTTCCTCCCCCCATAAAAAAACAAGGGTGTATTATCCCCACTTTTAAACTCCTCCCAAACAAATGGTTCGATATTTCTCACCCTAGGGGGTCGTAAACAGATGTCTCAAGGGGTACTCACCAGTGTGCAGACGCGTGTGTTGTTGTACATGTGACAACTGTTTGAAGCGGCGGTCGCAGTACGAGCATTTGTAGGGTTTCTCGCCTGTGTGGACCCGTATGTGCTGCACCAGCTGGTGGTTGGAGGAGAAGGCTTTGAGACACTGCTGGCACTGGTGTGGCTTGACCTCGCTCCGGTGGGGGTCGCGGTTATGCATCTGCATGGCAGATTTGTGCATAAATATCTGCAATGGGAGATGAGGGACGGGTTACTAGGGCGGATATACTAAGGGAGACGTATTACTACATACACCCTTATGAGACGTACTACCACATACACCCTTATGAGACGTACTACCACACTCACTAAAGGAGACACCTTCCTCAAATAATTTGTCAGATTCTCACCACTCACTGCATTAAAATCACCACTACCACAACTACCACTATCACCACTATTACTACTGCCAACACACACACACACACACACACACACACACACACACACACACACACACACACACACACACACACACACAAAGTATATTAACCATCACTCAAATAGCAAATCAACGAAGCAACTCAGCTACTTCTCGTCTCAGTTACTTCTCTGTAAATATAAGGCAGGTTGAAAACCAGATACCCCTTTTATGTGCTACATTATACGGGTGTTTCACTCTAGAGGCCCCGAGTTGATACTCTTGTAGTTTTAACTGTTTTATAACAAATAGGAACAATACCGTGACCATTTACAAAGTAAATGGTCCAAGTTGGACCTAAACGTCGTCGTAAGCTCTTCTCTCCTATGTGCGGGTTATTTGTGTATTGCAACTGTTTTGTTTGTATAGTATGTCTGTATTGAACGATAAGTCGGGGGCCTCTTACGAGTGTAAGACCCTGTATAAGGGATCACTTTTCTAAGAGTTACTTATCTAAGGGTTACTTAGGGTTAATTATCTAACTGTCATCCAATATAAGGGACTCCGTTTAACCGTCATCCAATATAAGGGACTCTGTTTAACAATTATCCAGTATAAGGGTGGCCCTTATGGACTCCGTTTAACAGTCATCTAATATATGGGTGGCCCATATTTACTCAGTTTAACCGTCATCCAATGTCAGGGTGGCCCTTATGGACTACGTTTAACACGATCTCAACTCTCTCATTAATCTGCTATAATATATACTTTAATAATGATAAATATTAAAGAAGTTTGTACCTCCTGTGAGTCCCTGTGTTAGTGTACCACAGAGAGTCTGAGAGTGTAACATATAGTGTTTGTAAGTATACCTCAAAGTCAGTGAACATGGTATGCCAAAATTTTTGGAGTGAACCACGGAGCCTGTTGGGTATTCCACAGAAAGTCCGTGAATTTTGTGGTTCATGTTTCTGAGAACCTACCGAGTGCGTAGCCAGGAAAATCTACAATTCTTAAAAATTTCCTGTGGATTTTCCTAATTTCCTCATCAAGAAACCCCGGATTACAAGCTCGGTAGGTTTTCAGAGCATCAACCACAAAATCTGCCTGACCACAGAGTCTGTCAGTGAGTGCACGAGCCTCACAGAGAATAATTTCCCCTGCGCATGCCGCAGGTTTTAAAGTTACAGCCTTGGTAACGTAGTAGCGGCGTTAGCTGAGGCTGCTGGATACAGCTATATAACTAAGGCATGAATAAAACATTGCGCTCTACTCGTTAGTGATAAATCACATGTGATGACAATGAAGCGTCCTCGCCAGGATTAATGAAAGGCTGGAGGAAACGAAGGCGACAGTCATTCCCCTCACCAGTCCACTCCAGACTTCCTCAGAAATGGAGAGTCTTTCCAGGCAAAATGAGAGTCTTTAGGTGGTTAAAGGTGAGAGTACGAAAAAAGGGTCTTAGAGTGGGGGGGGGGGAGAATGAGGGGAGAAAAGGAAAGTCCTTAAGGAAAAAGGCAGCGCTACGAGAAAATGCAAAGTTTTAGGGGAAAAGGCAAAGGCGAGGAGAATATGTGAATATAAAGACAAAGGAAAGACTACGAATATCTGTGAATCTCTAAGAGGAAAAACAGTAAAGACTACGAGAAAAGGAAGTCTTTAAGGAAGAAAAGACCAGACTTTTCCGAGAAAAATCAGACTCTTCAACAGTAAAAAAAAAAAAAAAAATCCTAAGACTTTATGAGAAAAGCCGAGGCATCCGCCAGAGTCAAGGCTAATTCCTTTACGAGAGACGAGCCGAATCAGACCGAATCAAGTCCGAGCCAAGTCTGGTATCGCTGATTATGAGGCAACACAAATTAACTAATTAGACACGAGAAATTTCATTACAACTGAGCTTTGTTAGTAAAGGTAAATGATTTTTTTGTATTCACTTTAAATTAATTTGTTAAGTCAACAAGGCAGGAGAGGCAGCTTATCGAAACTCCAGAGGCAAATTGAAATTCTCGTCAAAATTCGTGAGGACGGAGCCAAAATCATTGGGGAACCAAGGCAAAAAAATGATTTCAAGGTGGGTTATTTATGTATTTACATTATGCGTTTGTTGAGTACATACCTTCACTCAACTGAGTATATACTTTCACTCAGCTGAAAGGTTCACCATTTGGACGTAGCTAGGAATTCTCAGGACTAGTTAGCTAGGAGCGCTGCCTTCAGTTTCCAGTAATGTCCCTTCAGTGCACGCACGCACGTACACACACACACACACACACACACACACACACACACACACACACACACACACACACACACACACACTAGTCATGCCGTTGTTAGAGCTAACATCGCTTCTAGCACAAAGGTTAGCACTCCTGCTAGTCTTGCTTTGTCGCTGATGTTCTTGCTGCAAGTGCCAGCTATTGTGACCTTGTACCTGCAAGGTCACAGCTAAAACCCATTTAGCCAATGCACATGCAAAGTTCCCGGTTCGATCCTCAGCATTTCTTACATGAGAACGGTGCCAGACACCGAAATAATAATATAATAATAATAATAATAATCATAATAATAATAATAATAATAATAATAATAATAATAATAATGTCACAATTCTTCACTATTTCACTCTCTCCCTCATCTTCACCATTCTCCCCCTCCCTCTTTCATTCAATCTCAAGCTTCTTCCTCGCACTTACCCCCTCCTTCCCCTCCCCTCCCCTCCCATCCCTTCCCCTCCCCTCCCCCCCTCCATGCTATTCCTCAGACAAATGATAAAAAACACAAGCTTAAGTTCAATGTTTCAAAGTCACTCTTCTCTTCCCCCTCAAAAAAGGGGTTAAAAAATTGGTGATTAAAATCCCCATTAAAAATCCCCCCCCCCTCCCCGTCCTCCCATATTTTGGCACACTTGGTCTTGGTCACAATTTTTCATGGGTAATGGGATGCTACTTGGCCAGACTTACTCCTCCCTCCCTTCCTCTCTCTATCTCCTCTCCCATTCCTCCCCCTCTCCAATTTCTCCTTCCCTCATCCCCTCTAAGACTTCCTCAGTTTCCCCTCCGCCTCCTACCTTTCTCTCTTCCCCCAACCCCCCACCGGTCCCTCATTCCATCCCCCATCAACCCCAACATTCCCCCTTCTCTACCTCCTCCTCCATCCCCTCCCCCTTTCTCAGATATTTTCATGAAGAAATTCAATTGAGGAGACACCCGCAACACACACACACACACACACACACACACACACACAACACACACACACACACACAAGATTACATACACACACACACACACACACCACACACAACACACACACGCACGCACACACACACACACACACACACACACACACACCACACACACACACACACACACACACACACACACACACACACACACAACAGACATACATACACACACACACACACACACACCACGCAGCAACACACACACACACACACACCACACACACACACACACAACACACACACACACACACACACACACCACGCACGCACACACACACACACACACACACACACACGACACGCAACACACACACACACACACACACACACACGCACACCACACACACACACACACACCCACGCACACACACAACATACACACACACACACACCACCACCACGCACACACACACACACACACACACACACACACACACACACACACACACCACGCACACGCACACGCACACACACACACACACACACCACGCACACACCACACACACACACACACACACACACACACCACGCACACGCAACACACACACACACACACACACACACACACACCACACCCACACACACACCACGCACACACACACACGCACACACACACACACACACACACACACACACACACACACCACGCACAACACACAATCACACACACACACACACCACGCACACGCACACAACACACACAGACACACAGACACACACATCACACCACACACACACACCACACACACACACACACGCACACACACAGTAATACGCCAACAAATGAGTTACATTAATGAAGAAACGTTGCCACTGTCTTTTAATCGCCCATGTTGAACATTTAATGACGGACCATTTTTCCTCAGCTGGGGAGAACAACGGGGAGGGAAGAGCAGCAGAGGCAGCAGCAGAGGCAGCAGCAGCAGCAGCAGCAGCAGCAGCAGCAGCAGTAGCAGCAAGGGATAGAGAAAAATCACTTAATCTATCACAAACAATATCCAGTAGGGACCAACACACACTGAAAGATGATCCAAAAATTCTTCCCTCCCCCCCAAAAAAAAATCCCTAGAGTACAAGAACTAGAAGATCAGAGGAAGCGGGAGAGGAGAGCCATGATCGCAACATACACGATACTCTGAAGAGCAGACAAGGTAAGCACCGACAGAAGAGTCCCTCCAAGGGACGCGGGGAAGTGTTTCTTAAGCGTCAAGGATGTAGAGGCAAAAATAATTTGACTCACAAAAATAGACTCGTATCAAGAGAGAGAAATCATGGCGACGTTTACAACGTTCCTGGGCTACTATCGTGGCATAAAAAAGAAAAATACTGATAAATACTGCCAGAGGTGGTTGATAGACATGACAAGTGGATGGGAAAGGCTTAAACAAGCTACAAACTACAGAACAAGCTTTCATTGGGACAACGATTTGCTCGTGATACAACTCTGCATAAACAGAAACATCCACAGGAGGGGGAAGGAAGCTTGTTCTGTAGCTTAGTGTCTTCAGTAACTGGCTGCAACATGACCTTTCACTCAGTTTGAAGCTTATGAAGCTGTAAATTCATCTTCTCACACACA